ACTTAAACGTAAATCAACTAGAAGTATGAGTGCCAGTCATCGAGTAATTCATCAAAGGCACATTTCTGAATGCAGTTCACTTTTTTCGAGATTTGTGCAGTCAGTTTGAGTAGTGTGCGGATCTTTACATAACTCTCCACTGTCCTAAATAGGGCGCGCAATCGGGTCGGATCTGTCAAAGAATGCGATTTAATCGCCATCGATTCAATATATCGTTGTGTAAGGGCGTTCTGCCGTGGTATGAATGACCAATTATTAGCAGTATGTCCTTCACAATACTGTCACGTTCAAATTTGTTCCCGATCACGAAAAAACCTGTTTACTCACAACCTGTCGTGACCCATTTTGGGACCTTTGCGAGACAGACGTGCGAGATATGTCGGCCACGTTTTCAGCGCTGTCAATCGATTCTATATGCTTCAATATTTATTTTGCATGGCTCCGTCTCAAAGTATCTCCTTTATATTTCTTTCAGCATAGTAAATATTCTTGCTAGCACTGATACGCTTTACCGGGAATTTAACAAAGTTTTCGATTACGAGGAACTTTCACGCCGGGTATCTCAAAAGTAGTACAACCTGCATGCTCTGGGGGCGAGACGACAGTACTTGACAACGTCATATACAACATCCATTAACCCCTTGATTTTTTTACATCGTCCGCTCAAGTTCTTCAAGCAACTAATCAAGTTGGTTTTGTCTCATGTATCAAACGGCCGACCGCAGCTCATTATTTTTTGGATCCCCGAAACCAGTCAATTAGTGCGTTACATTATTTAAGAAAAGGTATCTTTCTATAAATAGTCAAACTATTCATGAATTTCTTTTGTTTTGATTTCCATTCGAATCCAGTGATTGTCTGCTGTTTTAAGCGACATTTGCCACGATTCGCTTTGCAAAGGTACTGTAATTTAATGCCTGAACGAGAATTTTGCATGTATCACGAAAAAAGGCTGTACACCAGTCATCATAAAGCATAAAAAATTGATGAAGCATCTGCGCTGGATCAATACCTTTGTTTCGGGGTCGCCAGCAGTCGACTGATTTGTAGAATTAGTAGTGGTGCGTATTGAATGCGATGTAGGCCTAACATGCTTGCGGGGCCAGTTGATGTCAGGTCCAGTGTTTTATACTCCAGACCAAGTCTAGGTACATTACGGATCTTGGGAGGGATGGAGCTTGATTGGATCAGCGGATACCCCCTGTTGATCCCCCGGAAGTAGTGGGTAAGCGTTTACATTTCCATACACCATTTCGCCATTACCACGTATCATAAATATATCGGAAAACGTTAAGGACCATACACTCATTTAGGGAGACGAGTTCTGTTTGGAGAGAACCTTTATTAAGAACATAGTATACTAGGCTCAGTAGTGGCAACATAATTTTTTTTATCAATAGGCAAAGCAATTACTTAAAGAGGCGATTGGGGAATCTACGAGATCAGTTACGGTCAATAGAGGGTTCTGTTTTGCGATTTTTGACGGATCTGCGCTTTTTCGCTACTGGGCGTACATGAATTGGGACCACCATTGTGGCTGCTAAACCCTTCTTTGAACTTATCCGCATCGCTGCGTTCAAATTGCAAACAATCCTATTCCTCTAGGAATTCGGGAATCATTCATTTTTTTGTTATTCTGGTATATGTATTGTAGGTGTGGCTGTCGGTATGTCATGTAGCTGTGAATGACTGATGTCACTTTTTTCCTCTTAGCTGTTTCCCATCGAATGTTTGAGCTCCCTGACAAATTCGCACTAGTTGCACGTTCGATATTCATCTCCATGAAGTTATGAGGGTAGTGGACTGATACTAGTGATCCTACTGCCGTTTTTCAATCGCTTGAATTTAGAATGAAGCTGTATGTCAGAAGCTTGTCTATGGTTGGACGATTTTGACTTTGATTCTATTTTCTTTACTACAGTTAATATTCTTGCCCGTGTCTATATAGATATATCAGTGGGAACACCATTCTCACATAATGTCTATAGAGTGCACAATTGTGATGAATATAAGACTCAAATTTTTCGAGAAATTTCGTTGTAAATGGACTAGGGAGCATTTCCTCCGGCGTTTAGGAAGAATGTAAAGTATTGGGGAACTTAATGGTTGGGAACCTTGGGTATTATCTAATCTAATAGCAAGCGCTGCGGATTGGATAGCTAGCTAATATTAGGCTTGAAGGGACTTTGACTTTTTTGAGCTGTCAATTCACTCCATTAAAATCTTTATTGCTCCATGCTTTTTCGGAAGCAATAAGAATGCTGCCATGAAGTTAGATGGCTTGATAATTGCATTCGTTTTTAGTCGATCAAAGGGCAAAGTGAGGCTTGAATAATTGGCAAGTCTGGGTGATGGTCGAATGCACGGCGCATGCCGAAAAATTCAACAAAGTAATTTAATGTTCTGTTCTGATAACCGACGCTTTCATGCGCTCACTCGTCACCAAGTTCTTATTTGCTTTGTCTTAGCTTAAGGGAAAACTGTGGCGCTCATTGCATCCATTCAAATGAAATGCAGGCGTGAAGAAATTGGCATATTTGGGTTTCATTCGTTTGAATGCATTTTCATGGAAGGAAGAGGAATGACGATTTGTTGCTAGAGAACCGGGATATTGACGATGGCTCGCAGGTGTCATTTTCTGCGGCAAGTAAGGCTAGACTTGGGCATATCAGCGCAAGGATTAGTTTTTGATGTAGGTTGCAAATTTTCTAAACGTATAGAACTATGCGAAGCTGACATGAAGCGCTATGAGCGGCGTCATCAGAAGGCAAAGCGTGTAACGTGGAATCCACAATTAACTTTGAACCTTCAATTTTGCGTTTCTTTTTGGAGAGGTCCCACACGATTGCGGTAAGATATGCCCATACTGTGTACATTGGGCACTTGACCCTGGTACGTGATATATCCTTTCCTGGGGCGGTATTCAATCCTTCCCCCAGGGGGATATATCCCCCTACTCTGATTCAATCCTCTGGGGGGACAAAAAAGGGTTGCGTCATAGGACCTAGCATACCTCTGTGTTTCTACCTGCCAGACAGTTAGAGCAGCGCGACCCCTCAGGCAAAAGAGTGCTTCATCAGTGGAGGGCAGTCGCGGTGCTCTAACTGTCTGGCAGGTAGAAACACAGAGGTATGCTAGGTCCTATGACGCAACCCTTTTTTGTCCCCCCAGGAATTGAAGAGGATTGAATCAGAGTTGGGGGATATATCCCCCTGGGGGAAGGATTGAATACCGCCCCTGGCTAAGTACGTGGCTGCTATGGGCCTTATCTTTTTATCACTTTTTCCGTATAGCTGAAAATCACACGCATAAAAACTCCGTCTTCTTAGCCGTGATTTTCATTTCTATTCGCTTGATTCCTTTCCCCTGAGTGCAAGTGTCTTCCTACCCTGTTGACTGCCTATTAGGCGAATTTCTGTTTATTTAGCCACTTACTCTGACGATCGATATTATTCATATGTCAACTGCCGAGTAATTTCTTGCTCGCCAGAGAGGCCACCCACCTTTCCAGTTTGCAGTTGAACATTCAATGCGAGAGTATATCGTTTGTTCTGGCAGAACTGCTCTTCTCCCTCATTTTTTTCTGTGAGTGTTTTCTTTGAAATTGTAGAACCTTTCTATCCTTTACAAACACTGATTCGTTGTGAATCTTCTGCAATGCTACTTTGCTAAGAGGACAGTGTTTTCTGTAGGTGAAGTGAAGAAGAAGTGCAAGTTAATGATGCTATTAACATCCGGAGCTTGTGTGACATGATATACAACTTGTTCTAGTAAGTTGCAATAGCATCTAAGAAACAAGGCCATGAAGCGAGATTACAGAACGGTGGACTTGTTCTTGCTTATCGATCAGTTCTCAAGCTTTACTCCCCTACGCTACACTGGCAGAGTCCTCCATGCATGTTTAGAACCAAGTGAAGTGCGTAAAACCTCTAGAAACCTTTTTCTCTCGTACAACAAAATCGATGCTTCGTTCATCTGTGATAGAATATATTCATTCTGCTTTTCGTAGGCATTCGTATTATCGGGTTGCCGATGTTGTACATTTCTGGCGCCGATTGTAACGCGTCTTAATCTCTTGTGACTCATCATCTCGTGCCGAACGGATAGGTGTCTTACCGGGAAATAGGTACCATCGTTGGAAACTTCGGGAATCCGATCATTGCTCATTTCTTTATACCATCTTCAGCTCCATAATCAATAGCACGCTAATGGACAAAATGACAACCTATGAGCAACTGGCTTGTGTCGTTTTTAGGCCATTCAACTTTGCGGAACCGGCGACACTACGCTGCGTGCTTCGCCGCCAGTAAATCACCAATTGTCTGTACCGCCAACGGCGACCGCGAAGCAAGCGAATCTCGCGAATCGCCAGTACAAATCCGCGAATTCGCAAGTCTACATCGGGCTCATCCATCTGGGGGACACACTACATATTTTTTTGTAAGAATTGTTTTTGGGGAAAAAATCTGGCAGTCAATGACCCCTCGACATAAGTGATTTTATGGGTTTGCTAATCACCTTTGGATTGAAAATTGAGATTTTTGATGTGGAGTGAGACTTGAGGTGCATACTCCGTGCTCAAATTGAAGTCTATTCGGATTTGAGCATGTTCATGTCTCTTGCTGAAAGTGTCCACATTTGTTCTCTGCGGAAAATTGGGTATTTGTTCATGAATAATGTTGACTCTCCTTGAAAGCCGTGGTGACTCTCAACACCTTCTCTCAGTTCTATCTTTTTGACGAATTATTTGTATTTTACCTCTTTCCTTTTTCTAGATCTGTAACAAGATGATCAGATGGGTATCTCTAGTTTGTTTTCCTGGGAATTATTCTGAATTCGTTGGTTTCATCGATCTTCGTCCCATTCGTTCAAATTTTCTGTTTGCAAATACCGTTAAAATTTTCTTTTAAGAGCTGCAGTAGCGATCACTGTTGGGAGATCAATGCAGCGGATATCGTCCGTTGTCTTCATTTGCCTGGCGGCGTTTTGCGCTTTCGTGTATGGTAAGCTGTTTTAATTCATTGATTAGCATTGAATGCATTACCTGAACAAGTAATCGACTCATTTATCGTTAATTAATCATAACATAAGCATTTTCTTAACAGTAATAATTGCAGGTGGCCGATTTGACTTCCGTAGGTTTTTATATATGATGGTTGTGATGCGCTTGTGTAGCACGAATATACGGTGTGGCTAAATTACTGTGCTATTTTTTCGAAATTTAGGTCAAAACCGCACAAGCGAACCCTCCTCAACCTGCGGCCAACAATCCTCCACCAGCACAAGGGTAAGCAGCTTCAAGACTTCATTATTTCAGATGTTTTTTTTGATAACATAATTCAAAGCCTGGGAGTTACTGGTGGTTATAGCTCAGGGTTGAGTCATACTTTGACTTCGGTTTGCACTTCTAGTGTGAAGACAATACGTATCGATTGTGCGGTGCTGCGATTGTAATCCATACGTATCTACTCGAACTGCAAACCGCGCCGCAAAGTTTGGCATGATCCTGCTTTGGATGGCCATGTTTTGTTGCGCTTCCATCAATAAGAACAAGAAAGCGCTCAGTGCAGTTTACTCCGGCCAGGTATAATCAGGAAGTTTGTTCGAAGCGAAATACTATCTTGGTTCTAGTGGTGCTGCCAGCGATGAGAGATTGCTGAATTTTGACGCGTGCAAAGAAGATGTTCATCGTCTTTGTAACAAGGTTCGAGAAATTCCTTTGCTGCTCGATTTTTTTTCGTGATGTTTTGAAGATAAGGCGAAAATGGTATTCAGGAAGGAATCGACTTGAAAAGTGATTTGTCAATACTGGAATGTTTGCAAGACGCAGGTCAGACTGAAGCAGCGACGCTCACACGCCAGTGTGAGGACCTTGTCTGGCAGTACAAGGTACTTGTGAGATTTTTTGGGTAGCTGTGATGTGAAGAATCAGTATAATACAAAGTCCAAGCTGTTCCGAAACCTGTTATGATTGCATTGTCTCACAAAAATGAAGTGGCGTTATGGTTTCTGTCATAGATTCAACCGAACCTGTTTTATACTCAAGTGGCGCGGTAAAATTGATTGCGGTATGCGTTTAATTTTTCGGCATGCCAAAACCATGCAGCCAGCAGTTGCGCAGGCTTGTTGGTGCACGCTGCAGAACTGCCTATTCAAGAAGCATTTGAAGGCAGCGATTACGATAATATGATCTTCATCAAATGTGAAAGCAGAGGTGCCAAATGGAGTGAAGAAGAAAATTGAAAGAACCGTCCGAACCTGGAATGGGACCCTCATTCTTCTCGTAGAATTGAACGAATGCAAAGGGACTTTCAAAATGAAAATCGAAACTAATGATGACGATATCGTAAACAACAGTAGTCATTAAATGAGGCCGCAAGTGCGGTTTGAAGGGGCTGAGTTCATGCTAGTCCGTCAACCTAGGGCAAGGCGGGGGGGGGCAGTTCTGGAGGAGGCGGGTCGTTCGTGGGCTTGGAGCCGAACTACGTCAAATTAGCGCAGTTTTTGCCCGAAAACACAGCACTTCGCTTCTTTTAAGTTCTGGCTACCGCTTTCATAGTTGAATATATTCCTGTGTGACCCTCTCTCGCACTTCACGCTTCAGAGAACATCAGTGCGTTTTGAATACCAGTAGTTTTTTTCCTCACTATGACCATTTGATAGGTATACCACACATTTAAGTGATCTTTTTTCCAGGTGAAACTCACGCAAGATGAGCGATTCACCAATGCGGCTAAGGGATACTGTAAAGATGAGATCGCAAAATCGAGTAAGTTATTGTTGTGCGAAATCGTATTACCTTGGAGTCGCTGAATTAACACAGTTTCCAACAGTAAAATTTTCATCTGTAGGATGCAGAGTGCACAGCAAATGACCAAGCAGGCATATGCCGCTGGAGTTGTACTTGCTTGATTTTACGAACTGTGACAGCTGACGTCTCGTGACACGCCTTTTCTAAGTGACGTTTTCTAGCGTTTCAGACTTTTGGACATGGATATAGAAGTCATGCGAACGGATACAGTATTGATAGGACTACATTTGTTCTTTGCTTAGCATAGAAGTGTTTTTCTTTTGGATGAGGGGGGAATGGCGTTATACCTCCCTGTTGAGGAAATTGTTATCGTTTTTCGTTACACATATTGCATTTCTCTTTTCTTTGTAGAGGAAACGGAGTTTGTTGTGGAGGTTTTCCGTCTAGGGGTGGTCTATTTGTCATGGAAAAAATGTGGGCAACGCTTCCAGCGTAGGATGTGGACACTCACACCCGGGGTCACAAAAGCTCATGAAGGAGTGATTGTGCCCCATACGCAAGGTAACACTACATAAGTATTTCGATGCTACCATTATATTTGTCAACAATTCTATTGCTGTGAATTAAAAATGCGTATGATCCAGAACCAGCTGTCAGTTGTGCTTCTTTCTGAATTCTTACGACACTTGGGGGAAGCTTGCTCTTACGAACAGCGCCAAGATGGTTTGAACGAACTACCCAGACTCGGACGTGCAAAATTCAAATTCTTCAGAAACATATATGAAGCATGTAAATCGCAGGGACTTTCCACCTCACCCTCTCCGTAATACTTATAACTATCATTCCAAAACTACCTACTTATTCATTTAGATGACCATCGATTATTTCGATTATATTTTTGCTCAGAAATATCAAATTACACACGAGAAGGTGATTTTAATCCAAATGTGCTCATTTTTCTGCAGCATTTCTTAATTTTTTCTCTTTCGAATTTTTTGAGGGAACGCCCGTTCTTCGAAACTTCTTCACGTTTTGTGGCCTTTGCGGAAAGTATTGCAGTTTTGATGAAACTAAGCAGGCTCAGGTCCGTTTTTAATTTTGTCATCGAATATTTCTTGCAGGAATGGCACTGGAATGTCTTATAAATTATGTTGTAAAACACGGGAAGAAGCAGTCCGAACTTCCACTAGCATATGTTAGACTCAGGATGCAGGCACGAGGTATGTATACTGAAAATTGTTCAATATGCATTGGAAATTTCTTCTGTTAGGAATACGTTCACCCATCGTTCAGGGCGTCATAACTTGTAGTAGTACTCTTTTTTTGACAAACTAATGTTGCTTTATTTTCTACATCAGGTGATGCGACTTGTCGAAATGCAAACTGAAGATTTCCATTTGGACAGACCCCTTTTCTTTGCTTGTCGGCAAGACAGAGAGGTATTGTCAAGGCCTTCCTTGTTATGGGATTCTAAGTGGTTTTTGAGTATTAATAGTTATTGTATTTCAGCGGTATTGTAAAGAAGTAGTAGCAGGAAAAGGTAAAATATTCGAATGCCTAATGATGAATCGAAATGACCAATTCATGGAACCAGAGGTGAGCTTTCCAAAAGGTTTCTGTTACTTGTGTCAAATTATTTAGACGAAGTTTTCGTCTATTTTTCCGGTTTTCCTTCTTGCTTCCCTGAGCTTTGTACATCCTATCATTTTGTTCATCAGTGCAAAAGCTTCTTCCGTTTTCGAACCTAGTCTGAGAGTTATTAAGAGATTTTGATCTTGTGTGCGTAATGTTCACTGAGAAAATATTATACTTTCAGTGTGCAAGATTACTCGCCGAACGAGCGTACATGATGGGCCGTAACTATCGTATGGCACACCCACTTGTGAAGGCCTGCGCAAACGAGATGAAGGAGTGAGTCAACTCGTCCTAATGTCACGTTCTACAATAGGCAGTGTAATAGATGCGATTTAGAAGATGTTGTTGGGCATCACGAGGCTTCTTGGTGTGAAAGCACCTTTGTGACAATATGAGAGCACAGATTTTGCTGACTCAAATTCCGCTTTTGCTGCCGGGCTAGCTTCCTAACCCGTCTCCACGCTCTCTTGCCTCTACGCCCTGATTGTATCGTAGACACCACCGCCACTATTTCAAATGATTTTCGGGGTTCTCTCCGATTTCATTCACTGTTGATCCACTTTGCAGCTATACTTCATCTTGACCGCAACTAGGTATAGGTGACAATAAAAGATTTTGACCTACGATTCCCGTCAGATAGGCTTTCTTGGTAATGGGGAGAAGGCAAGCATGGCAACTCGATGCTGACCGAAGAAGTCACTGTGGCAGCACAAATTGCTGCTGGTAATTTCGGAATGTGCTATGCATGCTCGAAGGCTGCCAGATGCCGTCAAGATGCGGTTGCGTGCATCTTGATTTTCGAAACAAAACAAGCGCGTGATAATTTGGCTTTGATTGTGTTGCTCTTTTACTTTTTTCACATTATTCGTTTTTATATTTTTATCCAAATTTTTGATTTTAAGATACAAATGCGAACCTCAAGACGAGCTGGAGTCAGCCGCTCACTACCATTTAACATGGATACTGCTGTGTTTGGAGAACGGTGCGCATAATGCGAAGGTATTTTATTAATTCATGCATTCCTTTATTTGCACGGTCGATGTGTCTAAGAACATCACCTTGTTAGAGGAGACAGACATTGACATTATCGGTCATATGTTTAAGGGTAACGTCAAGATACCTTCTCCGGACTGTCAGCACGAAATGTTGACACATCGTCAAATGATGGTCTCCGAGTTCCATATGGCACCGGAAATAGTACTTCATTGCTCGCAGGTTACTATATTTTTATACCACTTTCGGAATTTCTTCTTAAATAGGTGTCATGCAAGCTTTTTTTTATCTGCATGCTGCAGATTTTTTCCTTCTTGCATTAACCCTGGGTTCAAATTTTCTGAATTATGCTCGTTCTTGCAAGCAGCAGCTTAATTTATCATTGTTCTTGCTGTTACGTCGTTAAATTACGTAGTTTTCGTCACGTTTCTTTCAGGAAATTGACAAGTGGTGTAGCCCAAGAGGTGATATCGAGCCAAAAGGACTAACTTTACATTGTTTGATGGAGCATGCATCGGTGAGTTGGTCATAATGCACGAAACTCTCAGTCTTTCGATGGAGCACAATCAAATGTCTTATATTTTAGGCAACAGACAAAACTAAGCAAGTTGGACCTCAGTGTATGCAGGCTCTGAAGGACGTCATGAAGGTGAGATCGCATGCCTTTTGCGGTACCCAATTACTAAGTTTCTGGAGTTTCTTGGATGAAATATTCTTTCTTTAGGTTGCCGATATCGGCATACTAATACTAAGTCGATAAGGTTTTGTATGGATCATGTAGAAACATCATTGTGGGGAGTCTTGCATGTCTATTTTCTTATTACAGGGTAGTCAATGGTGTGATACTCCATTTGCTTCACTACGTTTTTCGTTCACGGAAAATTGATTTTGGACAATTTTCCCAAAGTTGAAATTTACTTTTAAGGAGCTTGTGCACGTGAAACTGGATCGGAGTTCTGAGACACTTACGTGTTTGATGAGACATGTCGATAGCTCGGATATGACTCCAATGTGTGAACAGAGGCTGCTAGAGGTGCAGTATTTCATGGCGAGAGACTGGACATTAGATCCCCAGCTCTACGAAGCTTGCCACGATGAAGCTGTTAGGAGGTATGGAAGGATTACTTCAAGAGTGATCGAAGATTGAATGAATCTTAATGTTTTATTTTTATTTAGATGTCATGCGCAAGCCAACTGGCATCTTCCGACGAATGGGCCAGATCCAGGCCCATCGGTTCTCGCCTGTCTGTACAGATCCGCTTACGATGAAGAGAATCCGGTAAGAAGTTGTGCGTTCTTCTTTTGGTTGTCCGTTCAATTTCTGAGTTTGGAAAGAAGAAGAGTGGGGATAACACCTTTTTCCAGTTGGTAATTGCATTTTCCATGTCAACCACGATGCTACTGCGGGTCACTACCAGTCCGATTTTAAACTTGTGCCGTTATGTTAACTCTTTACTAAATGGTGTGTGTGTGTGTTAGTTAGTATAATACTTTTTTGCATGCTGCCTCATTAGCAGCGTGTACTTTATCCTGCTTGGAAGCGTGCTGACAATTCACACCATTACTCCTCCTTGTGCAAATATTTCATATGACTAGCTAACAACTCAACTACACTGGCCTTTTTCTCTATGGCAGGGTTTTATTGAATGCATTATTCTTCAAGGGAAGTGACACGAATGCGAACTGCATCGTAGGAAACAGTTAACAAACATAGGAGCTCAAAAAAAGGAGACTGATTCCTACAAATTTTAATGATACTAGAATCTAGTAGATTTTAAAGTTTTTACTGAGGATCAGGCGCCTGGTATTGCTGAGTGGTCATTGTATTTTTTACAGCTATCGAAGAAATGCGGTGTGGAGGTAGAAGAGTCCTGCACACACGTGCAGTGCGAGTGAATCTTATTCCTGACATCGAAGATGCATGCCGAGAAGCATTGTCTGAGTACTGCTCTCACAATGTGAAGCCCATGGAGGTTAGAGCTCTCTCTAGGATTATCTCGATTTCATATTAACATTGAGAAGTATCATTCCTGTTCTAGTCATTTTATTCGACTATGTAAAGCGTACAAGATGCAATTTTAGGAAATGAGCTGCCTCCAAGACAATTTCGAGAAGAAGGAGTTCATTAAGCGACATCCCGGCTGCCATAAGGAAATTGTACGATTCACAGAAATGGAGTCGAAGGACACGAAATTAAACAGAGCCTTGACAAAAGCATGTAAACCTGTTATCAAGGCCCACTGTTGAGGTCAGTGTTGTCGGTAGCTTCACCATTGCTGAAGCCCAATGCAGCAGCACTAGGTATGAACTACTGTAAATATATGTTTAGCAATTTGCCTAACGAAGAAATTGATCATGGTGATGTAATGGAATGTCTTCTTAACAACAAGGTACGCAGTTTTACTCTGTAAAGGGTTTTTTCAATGCGACATTTTGATCCATTGTCCCTTCTCCATAGATAGTTTTCGTTATTACGCCCTTTCTTGCAGGACCAACCGGAAATGACATCGAAATGCCGCTCATATGTGAACCACTTCGAGTTGATCTCTCTTCGAGATTATCACTTCTCATATAAATTCCAAAAAGCATGCGCTGCCGATATAGACAAACATTGTCAGGACCATGGCAATGACAAGTGAGTTGTGACTTTTCATATATTTTACATCATTTATACAATGATTAGCGTTGTTTTCGGAGAACGCTTTATTCTGAGCTATTGAATCTTGATACACAATACAGCCCTATAGTGTGGTAAAACATAATCTGCTGTTTAGCCTTATTTGGTTGATTATGCAAGTAGCTACCCTTATCTAAGTTGTTTCTATACTCGCTTTACGGTTACTGGTTGGTGACCGTATCTCTCATGGGCAGCCGGCTCTGAGCAGCAAGCGAGCACGACTCACCCCCACCCCAAACCTCCCTTCCTCCTTCATTCCCTTTATCCTATAGTCAGAATATGATCGCTCCTGTTCAAGAAGTCCAAATTTCACGACGTATACGAGCCCTTATAAAATTTAGACTATTACACGGTTGAGAGTTACTGCAGGATTCGATTGTTTCACAAAAGTAGGTTCAATATAAACCCATTCTAGCACAATGAAAAGTTTCTAAACTCCTTCAAAGCGCTCATCAAACTTTCATTTTTGACTATGGCACATCAGGTGTTCCGAAATATTTCCATTCAGAGAAATTAAACAAACTGGTTTCGCATTTGATTCATTCCGATGACATCAGATAGAGTTGGTTTGACTTTTCACCCCGACTGAAATATCACTTTATAAAACGATCTGTAGTCGCTGCATGCGTGCAAAGTTCATGACTAAAAATACAGGTTCAGAATGAAAATTTTCGAAAGGTTTAGAGATATCACGCCTCACACTCCCCATTATCAGTGACTGGTCTTCCATATACTTTTGTACCAGAATCTTGTTCAAGTTTATGCGCAAATTTAGGGGTGAAATTATTCGGTGCTTGTCCGAAGTGCGTTTCGAGCACAAAGTGCTCGGAACGAGTGCCGATTTGTCGGAGCCGTGCAAACATCAATTGAAAGTCGCCTATCTGCAACAAGAACAGGTAGAAGTGAGTTGGCTGTTGTGGGAGTTTATGTTTGCTGTTTACCATGCAGGTATTCCTTGTGTGTTACAGATCAGCAGGTGAGAGAAACGAGGCTTTTGGTTGTTCAAAAAGTGGTAAGTTGTGTAAATCTTTCATAGATTCTATGTGGGAGTGTACTGAATTTCGCTTTTGACTCATTGCTGCGTAGTCATTTTGGGGCAGAAATTTGAGCTGAAAACTTATTGTCAAGCGAATTTTTTGATTGATTTTGACATTTCTATTGTATTACTATATTTCATCCGTTTTCAATCATGCT